GTTGCCAAGGTTGAGAAACACTGCTCTAGGCCACTCTCCAACTGCTTTTAAGGATGACATATTCCCCACCCTGACAGCAAAACCTCTTCCACAAACCCCTGTCCTGTCCTGTAAAAAAAAAAGGCCAGGCGGAGGGTGGATTTGAATTCAGATCTCCGTGTGCCACTCCAATCCCACCCCACTACACTGGCAGGACCCCTTAGTTCTAGGGCTGTGTCGCTTCCAGCTCTCTTCTCGTAGCCGCATTGGGGCCGAGAAAAGGAAGGAGGAAGATGGGCCAGTGCTGGAGTCTGGGGAAGGCTCGGAGGAGGGCTCTGTGTCGGAGGCAGAGAGTGGGCCAGGGCCGTCTGGCAGTGATCAGCTGCCTTCGGAGTCAGATCTCAGTGAGGCAGAAGAACAGCTGGCGCCTGTTCCCAGTGTGCCCATGCGCAGAGCTGCCAGAAGAAGAACTCAGAAATCAGGGTCGACTTGGGAGTAAAGCCACAGGTGGACGGTGAATGGCCCCTCCCATAGGACATAAAAGAGGAGGGAAAGGGGAGGGTTTTTTTTTTGCAGGAAACCATTCATTCGTTCGTTCACTTCAGGAGTGTGTAGATCTGTCCATGAATTTCAGAGACTCTGTGCCCAGCCTTTCCTTGCACAGCACCTCAATTGGAGTCAGATCTCAGTGAGGCAGAAGAACAGCTGGAGCCTGTTCCATTGTGCTCATGTGCAGTGTTGCCAGACGAAGGGAACAGCGAAAGTACAGGGGTTGACTTGGGAGTAAGGCCACAGGTGGACGGTGAACGGCCCCTCCCAGAGGAAATAAAAGAGGAGCGACAGGGGAGTGGAGTTTGCAGGAGACCATTAGTTCGCTTCATTGGTTTGTGACTCTCCGAGGCTCCTTGCCAGGTTTGGGAGATCTGGACCTGGCAGCTCTCCAAGCCAGATGAGGTCTGTGACCGTAAATCCTCCCTTGAAAGGCTTTGCTGGGTGTGAAGGAGCAGAATTCACCGTCAATTAGAGCAGCGTGCCCGCTCATGTTTGCGAACCGGTAGGGGACGTAAGGGAATACCATCCCTGCTCCCCGCTCTCACAGAGCGAAAGAAAAGCTTTAGAGAATGAAGACCCACCCAA